GTCACTGTCACTGATAATGGCCTCGCTATCAGAAGATGAAACAGTTGGCAAATCTGATAGCTCATCGGAGAACATATCTAATATTTCCTGTCCTCCGAGAGATCGCAACTGCTTTCGTCTCTGAGCCATGTTGAACTGGTAGCTGCGTGGTTCATACGTGCAAGCTTGGATTAGAACAAAGCCAATTTTGTTTAGGTTGTGACAGGAAATGACTCTGGTCGAGTTACTAGATAAGGCAGCAATCATTCCCGAGGTCATCTACGCAGTAGTTACGATTCAACGATGCCACACAGCGATATATAACGTTTTGCAACATAACATGACCGTAGAGGGCCATATGGCCCGACCGGTCCGCAACGCTTGGAAACGTAGAGGGCCATATGGCCCCTCCGGTCCGCAATGTGTTAAGATTATGTCTGGGAAGTGTCGGCATGTAGTGTGCTGGATAGTTACCAGTATGTAAGGTTGATGGAGGTCATATATATTCCTAATACATTGTTACCTGCCAACCAAACTATATGTCTTCATGTACCAGAGGACCATAATTTTAATCCCCAAGCAGCCATGTAGTGTTTACAAAATAGTTCTTGAATGTGAATAAACTTTTAATTTTTTTATTAAATATATTTTGTAACCCAGTAAGCATAAACATTGCAGCTATTTTGTCAGTATAAAATTTAAAACATTAATTGCAAGTGCAAACTTCTCTGGTGTAATGAATGCATGTATTTTAACTTCAGAAGCCACTATCATCTGTATTACAGCCACACATTTGTAAATGATGTCTGTAAGAAAATTGGTTGCATCAGTTGTGTTATAAATTTGTGGCCACATTCTCCGCCCTCACAGTTTCCATGTTTCCTTTCTCAGAACTTCTTAATGTTTAAAGGAACACAGTTCGTTTAGCAGGAAATGACTATTTTGACTGAATAAAATATGGCATCATTAGTGAGAAAGATAAGTTTTTATAAAAATATCTTTCCTGTTTGAGATTTTCTGCAATGGGACCTTTGCTTAATGCTGGTTAATCAGCCATTTTTAGCCTGCTTTCCTTATGTATAAAAAGTAAAAGTTGTATGAGATCACCTTGCTGTCTGTGTGCCCCCTGAACAACTTCTGAATGCTGGAACCAGTCCTTATGAAACCTGGTAAGTATATCATGCCACCTGACCTCATCTCAGTGGCATACTTCATAAATCAATAATCAGCAATATCAACATTATAGCCTTTCAAATTGCTCAGGCAAAATCCTATTATTGCTTGAACATCTGTATCCATCTTCATGAAACTTGATATATTGTCATGCCACCAGAGGTCATCTCAGTGGTGTACATCAGAAATCTCTCTTATTACTAAAACTGACACTATGATACATAATTGAAGGTGGCAGTGCAAGTGCAGGTCTAGACCTACCTTTTATGCATTCGTTCATTCAGTACCAACACAGTCTCTCAAATTTTTGAGATAATACCTGTAATGTGCCTTGAATGCCTGAACTGATTGTCATGAAATATGTCATGCCATCTGAGAGCATATCAAGAGCATACATAATAAATCCCTCAACTCTACAACCTTTCACTTTGTTAAAATTTAATGACTGAACTGATCATCATGAAATGTCTTATGTATATCATGTGACCTGAGACCATCTCAAAGGCATACTTAATACCATCAGTAATACCAATATTACAGCTTCTCAGATTGTTGAAGTAATATTACTTTAATTCCTGAATTGATAGTTATGAAACTTGTATGTATATCATGCTGTGTGAGTCCATCCTAATGGCATACATCGTAAATTCCTCCCATCAGTAATACCAAGGCTGAAGCCTCTGAAATTGAGGTAATAACATCAGTATGCTGGAACCAATCTTTATGAATCTTGGTATATATGCCCTGCCATCTGAGGCCGTCTCAGTGGTGTACTTCATATATCACTTTCATCAGTAATGCCTCTCAGATTCTATTCTTTTAGTGACTTCATTATACATATATACTAAAGCTTTCTTTCTACTTGTCATGTCTAACTAATGCACTAAGTCCATAGAGATGAGCCCTTCTTGAGAAGCTGCCTATTGTGCTGCTAATCAAGAACTTGCCAACATTTTATAAAATCAAAGGTTCTTTACCATGTTCACAAGAGCCCTCCACTTGCCCATATCTCTCAAAGATTCATTTTAGTATTTTCCATCAACATTCATCTTGGTCTTCTTACTGGTTTCTTTTATTTTGGCTTTCCCAACAATATTCTGCATGCATTCCTCTTCTCCCAAATTCATGCCACATGTCCTGCCCACCTCATCCTCCATAACTTGATCAATCTAATTATACTTGACAAAGAATTCAAGTTATGAAGCTCCTCATTATGCAATTTTCTCAAGCCTCCTGTCACTTCATCTCCCTTTTGCCCCTTATAGTCTCCTTAGCACCCTGTTCTCAAGCACTCTCAGTCTGTGGTCCTCTCTTAATGTCAAAAACAAATTTTCATGCCAGTGCAGAACCACAGACAAAATTATAGTTTCAATATCCTAATTTTTATGTTTTTAGACAGCAGAGGAGAAGACAGAAAGTTCTGGACTGAATGGTAGCAAGCATTACCTGAATTAGTCTCCTCTCAATTTCCTCTTGAATTAGATTTTGATTTGTCATAGTTGTTCCCAAATATTTGAACTCTGCCACATTTTCAGAACATCTGCTAGCCATGTTTATGTCACGATTTTGCCCTGCATTCTGGTGAGGAGACAGCAACATATGCTTAGTTTTCTTTGTATTTATTTCTAGACCAACAGACTGCAGAATATGGATCCATATTAAGACAATGCAGTTCAGGTACTTAGTTTGTTTTTTTGTAATTTGCCTGATGATGACCTAGAAGAGGTCGAAAAATGTAGTGTACACCTGCGCATAATAAACAGATAATAGAGATAGTGTAGTATCTATTTTGTCGTCATCTGGAAAGATACTTTTTATGCTATGTTGACAGACCAGTTTACACAATTATGCTATTACTCTTCCAAAGAATTATGGCCATATTGTATGGTGTATCTTGTCAGGTAGTCCAAGGGCAGTGCTCCCAAATTATATCGCTTCTGTCCAGTCATATATAGAAAAAAATAACACATATAACAAAACCAATAGCAAATCTTGATACACTGTAGTGTGACATGGTGTGGTGACACCCTTTAAGACTAAGGCATTGTCACATGGATCCACATTTAATTGTATAATGAGCGGTAAGGGACAATGACATCACAGACTGCGGTTCAGCAGGAGTTTAAGTTACCATGAACGTTAGAAATGTATGGTTAGAAATGGAATGCTTAATTTGTTGTTTCTCAAAGTGTGTTTACCCATGGCAAAACATAGGCAACTTTATTCTTCAAAATTTTCCAGTGGAGGAACCACCTACCTCATCTCACTGGAATGGTGCTCCCCCCCCCCCNNNTTTTCAGTCCCCCAAAAATGTTATTTTTGTTTTTGAAAGTTTTGTTGTCACTGTGAAGTGAAATATATGTAGTTGTATTGTGTGACAGTGCCCCACTGTAGGTCGGTGGAAACTCAGTGGAAATGGAAACCTGTCTGATACAAAGGAAAACATAACTCCACAGTGCCTTTGTAAACTTGTGAACTAGAATTTCAACATTTAGGAAATATGAGAAACACCATGTGTCCATTATGGATTGAAACCAGCAATAAGCTGTTGTCCTTGTGATCCTAGCAGGGCTTGCCTTGCAGGTGGTCTATTATTGTTGAGGTAGGCCAAGCCTCAACACTGGAGGCATTGAAACCATGTTATTTTGTCACTGCACTGGTTTAATGCAAGTATTTTTTTTTTTCAGGTTCAAATGGTTCCTGCTCGATACATGAGTGGACAGGTCCATTTCATGGTGAAACAGTTCATTTTCGAATGACATCTGTGTGTGGTCATGTGATGACTTTGGATTTCATTGGAAAATATAACAATTGGGACCGTGTTGACCCTGTAAGTGGTTTTATAGTTTGACAACATTATGTCAGCTAGAAAAGTTAATATTGATTGGGCTCACAGGGTGCATATGACTTCAGAAGTTTATATATCATTACATTAAAGTCCCAGGTATCTGGACATCTCATGCAACTAGCAGAATTTTTTAGAGAATAATTGGTGTTTTTAAAAAGTTACTGGAAGAATAGAGTTGGCAATGTGCCAGTGCACGTGGTACTTCCTTTGGCCATCACTAGCAGCACTGCCATTTTTTCTCCTCACATAGTTGCCATTAGACTACAGGCCATATGAATTTGTGAGCATGTTGCAGTGTATCTACAGCCTTTCACCCATCAATCTGTTGTGTTGCCTAAGAAGAATCACATGCAAGAACTGAAGCAAAAAACATGCTGTTTCAACCTTATACTTGGTTTCTGTAAGGGGTTTTCTCATGCATCCAGCAGATTCATGTAACTGGCACATCATGTTCCAGAAAAATGCCATATATTATAGTTTAATGTAATATGTTGAACATTATGTGTTGCCTGAGGCATATTTGATATATGCACAGTGTTTCAGAAGTTGTCCCTACTCCTGTCTTCAGATTGTTGGGGTTGTGTTTTGAACGTACCTTTTACTTAAGGTCTCTGTTGGGTATCCAGTGATTCTGTATAAAAGTGAGCTTGTGTTTAGCATACTGTTAAGAAGGTTCCAGGTTAGATTTGAACTGATACCACTAATAGAATGGTTGGTTTGTTGGTTTCTAATGCTGCACTTTGACGCCTAAGTCATTTGTGCTTTCATCCTAACCTAGTTAGCATATTTGTGACTTATTTTGAATTTGGATGCCACTTGGGAGAGTTGTGTTGCCCAGTGTACTTCAGTCAGTAGAGTAACAACTAGTCACATGAATATGAGAGTAGAGCCAGGCCCCAGTACATCATGTAGGTCTATATCAAATATACCTTGGACAGTGAACATTGTCCAACTGCTATGCCAAATATTTTATATTCAACCCTTTCTGCTTATTTCAGGCACAGAATGGTATTATGTTTTCATATACCAACCCACCACTTTTTGCACAGGCTTTGGCATTAGGCTCACTAGCAAGAGGACAAGTTTTGTGCCTTTACCATAGCAGATAGTTGTATTTACAAGTAACTGGTTCAGATACAGAGGACATTATCTCATGTCCCTCTCTTAAATTCAGTGACAGTTATTCTATCTTTACAGAATTTAAGTTCCTCAGTACTGTAAGGACGAAGCAGGACACGATATGTTATCACATGGACTTGTAACTTCACTTGAAATTTGATGTAGCATAATAATCAGTACTTACATAGTAACAGGTAATACAAGTGAATTTAAATCTGTACTGTCATGTTGTCTGTTACCTTAGCGCCTCCAGCCATAGAAGTTCATTTGTAAAAACTAAGCTCAAAAGCTAACCTTAGAATGTCTTTAGGTATTTAGTTGTGAAAAAGAAATGAAAGCTCCTTGTGGACTTGGAGGCAGATTGTAAAGTTAGGCTTTTGGTCTTGTTTTTAGATTAAACTTTTAATATTGGTAATGCTAATGTGGTAGATAAGATGGTTGTAATTTTTAAAGTTGCTTATGACACCAGCTTGTATGTAAGTACTTTGTAGTGATTTCACAACTTATGATGGATTTTTCATGCTAGGTGGAGCTGTTCTCATGCCCAACAGAGAAGAAGGAAGCCGTGCCCAAACTAAGGATGCAGTCATTTTTAGCACATGAAGCCAGAGGATCCGACTACTTGATCTTGTGGCTAGATTGTGACAAAGAAGGAGAGAACATATGTTTTGAAGTGATCAGTGGTGTGCAGAATTCCATGAGGAGGAGTATACAGAGTCCGGATGTAAGAATAGTGTATAAATAACAGATATATTATAGTTTTTGAGATTATCATCCCTGTACTGATCATGTGCTTACATATTCAAGTACTTGTGGCCATTGTTAGATATTTATTGGTTCCCCTTCTGCAGTTTTCTTACTTTATGACTGTTAATGTTGCAAGTATTATCACCTTTTTTTTGTGATATTTGCCCCATTACCATACAGTATGCTCTAGTTAGTTCAGTACTAGATAATGCTTCATGCAGTTCAGTTGAATGTTGTTAACGTCCCCTGTTAGGAACTGTGTTTGGTTTAGATCTTGACCAGGCCACTGGCAATCCTGGCAGGGATTTTTGCAGTTTTCCTCGTCCCAAATGCTAGGATTGTACTGTGATTAGGCTACCACCACTTCATTCAAACTTTTTTCCCGTGCTTCATCATTCACGTATCATCCTACTATGAGATTCTGTATAGCCTTGATTTCAAACGTATTAAAGAATTTACCAGAATAAAATCCCTGTTAAGAAAATTACATGTCTGTGCTCAGTACAGGGATAGCTCACTTGGTATAGTCATGGGCTATGTGCTGGATGGCTGGGATTCAATTCCCAGCAGGGTCAGCATTTTGCATCTTCATGGCAGATTGCTTAATTTAAGCAATAAATTAACTTTACTTTTGTACTTTACTGTAGTTACATATTGTGATGTAGCATGTGTGACTATAGATGGACTTTGGATTGGTGAATAGATTTATTCACCACTTACTGTCATAACTACAACACTATCACTATTTCCACACCTTACAGTTTACCAGAGCAGACAGTCTAGTGTTCTCAGTCTGTTACTAGACGTTTCATGGTAATGGCTCCAACAGTGGCTGTTCCTCTGCCTCCATCTCAAGTCCTCTCTTCACAGATTCCTGCACAGAACTCACTATACTTACTAAGCTCCAGACCTCCCAGTTAGAACATTTTGGTGTGGACCACATAGAAAACCCAGTTCTTCTGTTGTGTGTGTGTGTGTGTGTGTATGTTGCAGGCATTACCTAACAGTGGCCTCTGTTTATGGAGTCACACTTAGCTGTGGGTCTATACACTACAGTATTAATGGTTGATCCAAATAATGTGAAATGTTACCACCATATTTTCTCCCATGTTAGTGCTACTAAGTACAAGTTTTTTGGTAAAATCTAAACCCTAATTTGTTGATAGAGGTTTTGTACGTATTTCTTTTTGAAAAGAAAATAAGAGGCCTAACCTAAGAACATATCAGTAGCGCAACATTGTGGACTTGTTGGAGGCAAATTCCGGGGGAAGGTATTAGGTGTTCTTAAAAATAAACCAATGTTGTTAGCACTAAAGTGGCAGACAGCTTGAAGGTAACCAACAGTTACTTGGGTCACCTGGAATGTTTATCCATATTGTGTGCTTTATGTCATGGATGAACATAAATTCAGATAATTTGTGATGATAGCTCGGTACAGTGACCAGGCTATGGGTTGGTTGACTGAGGAATTGGGGGTTTGGTTCCTGATGAGGGCATCAGATTTCTTTCTTCTCCATAGAGGCCAGACTGACTCTGGTCACCAAGTTTCCTTTGCAGTGGTTTCCTTGGGGGTAAATTGGCAGGCCCATGAAGCTAACGACTCACCTGCGTATAGTGCTGAGTTTGAATGTGGTGGAGTTACACCTTTACTCCCCCATGTATCTTCATGGCACATCTTTACTTTTTGTTAAGTCATAGTGATCGTGAAACTGGTTCCCTACGTTCCTTATCCATAGTTTAATGCTAGGACAGAAGGACAAGTAATCTTGACTGTTACAGAACATACCACTTTGTAAGCATATGTTCATTGGAATCCATTTGGGATTGCTGGGTTTTGGGACTTTGTCCGTCTTCCCGGTATTTTAAAGAGCAATGTTTTGGAAATTGGATCTGTTTCTGTCCTCAGGTGAGGGGTGGGAGACACCTACTCTGTTGCATCCCTTAGAAAGAGCTAACTAAATCACTGAATACTGGTATATACCATTGTCAGAATCCTTTAGAATTTACCAAGTGGAACCCACATTTAGCACTTTCCATCCCACAAGCCAATTAGATCAGCTTCTATACTTGCATTCAACAGCTGAACGGATTGGCTTGATGATAATCGCTTAGAACTGCATATCTGTCAACAGACGGCACCGAATGTGGCATATGAATGTTCATAGAGGCAAGAACAGGCTTTTTCATTATCAATACCTGTGGTCCTATGAAGGTATTATTATTATTATTATTATTATTATTATTATTAGGGGGTGGGTTTCCCCATGCACCGCGACCAGTTTGATCTATTGTAGGTCCCCCTTTGATATTCTACCAGTCTCTATACCCTACTGGTACTGGTGCGTGCCATCAGCCCCGACTCAGCCAGCGAGTTCGGCCTCTACTGGCTCAGCGGTACCTGATGCTTCCCCCATCTACCAGAGGGGTTAGAAACTACTGTTGGGCGGGAAATGTCCTGTAATTTGGCTGAGAGGTCTCCTTGAGACACGAGGTTCTTTTACTTGCCGTAAAGCTACGACACGGGACCCATGGCTTAAAGTCCCTCCCAGAGGACTTGTTCCCTGAATTTTTGTGCCCTTAAAAATTCCATGACCTCCGTCAGGTTTGAACCTGTGTACCTTGAGTCATGAGGTGGGAACGTTACCCCTAGACTATGGAGGCCACTTCCTATGAATGTAAGTGATGAAAGTATTGTTTTTTTTTTATGCAGCTGCATTTACTTCAAGTAGGCTTCTCATTTTTACACGCAGCTCTCTATTGGGGCTTGGCAGTCAGAAGGTTAATATTCCTCTCTTAATGTTGTCTCTCATTTGATGTTTGATCTCTGTGATCTGAAGTGAATAATGTAAGTGTTAAATTACTTCCAGTTAAGATATTCCTCAGTTTAGTATTCAGATCCAGTGTTCTCTAAAGAATCCTGAAGTTGCAGTTACTCTTTTTTAATTCATTCAGTTCATATCACGATGATAATTGTTTTTAGATTTCTCTCCTGTGGCTGATCAGTCTGAACTGCACAGTGCATAGGCAGGGTCACAACTGACCTGACACCTGTACAGCAGCAGACCGAAATGGATTTCTGCATGTCATCCACTAGTTCCTGTTTCATGCTGTACCACATGTGTCAGTGAGAGGTTGAGTGGGTCTAGAGTCCTGAATCTACAAATCACTCCTCCTGTCTGCTACTAGCCCAATATGTTATGATATCTTGTGTTTCCTGCTAGCCTTGTACATTCCTGGTATCACAAACATGAGCAGCATCACACGACAGATGAGCTCCTGTGGTGAAAATTGCATAATGTGAGACCCTGCTTCAGGTCCATTTCAGCCCCATTGTTTTTCAAGTGGGGGGCTTCCTTCATCTTAATTTTTATGTCTGGAACAGAAATGTTCTAAAGGGAAGAAATATTGTGATGTGATGCCTGAAGGCCAGAATAGTGGAGCCAGAAGAGATTTCCGTTGCTATGCAGTGGCTTGGTAAACATGTTCACGTGGCATTGGATGTGCACATAACAGTAGAAGAACCGATGGATGTTGTGTTTGTGTGTGGTCCATGGCGGAGTTGTATGATGAGGACCAGTGGGGCCAAGACAGCCAGTTATGAGTTGGGAGTCGGCACTTTCCATTAGTGGTTATACGTGAGCACGGGAACAGATGACTCTCTTCTGTTAGAAGCCACTACCAAGCAATGACTGTTGAAGATGTAGCTGACTGAAATGGCTTAATGGAGTCATAGTGCTTTGTGCAATGTGTAGATTATTGATAGTGTTGTTATTTGTAGTTACTGAGTCTTAAGCATTCTGTAAATACAGTAATCTGTCCAAACCCTGTGTCTACTGGCTAACATATGACACTGTCATTGGTTATTTGACCGATCTTTTCAGCACTAAGTATACTATATATACACACAGCACTTTTAAATCATGTCAAGGGGTACATTTGCTAGAGTACTTGTAAATCATGTCAAGGTGTACATTTGTTTATATACTGTTTGTGTTAGGGGGCATGCGGTAGCATAGTTGGTTGAGGCACTATGCTACAAGCTGGAAGGTTGCAGGTTCAAGTCCCGATGAGGTCATTGGATTTTTTTTCAATTGACCTAATCCTTCCAGCCGCACTATGGCCCTGGGGTCGACTCAGCCTCTAGCAGAAATGAGTACCAGGAATATTCTTGGAATATTCTTGGGGGTAAAGGGCGGCCGGTGTGTAAGGCTGACAACCTTGCCGCCATCTATGAGCCAATTGTCTAGAAAATATGGGAACCTCAACATCTCACAACCCTATGGGCCTCCACGTCCTGTTACAGGGATACCTTTACTTTTTTTACTGTGTGTGTTTGTATGTTTCAGGTTGTATTCCGAGCCCATTTTTCTGCTATAACTGAGAAAGATATTAAAGGGGCTCTCACAAATTTAGGGAAACCTAATGAAAATGAGGCTCGCAGTGTAGATGCTCGTCAGGAACTAGATCTTCGCATTGGTTGTGCCTTTACTAGATTCCAGACTAAGTTCTTTCAGGTTAGTCAACTGATCATCATACATACCAGCAAGTAAGAAGTGTCAGCCTGGTAGTAATGTTCTTCTTGTGTTTACCAGTATATATAATGCTTGCATCAGGATGTTACAATTCCAGAATTCAGCACCTCTGATTTTTCCACGTAAAATTTATATCAATATCATTTTTTGTGATTTGTTTTATCATGCTGCCTGTAGTCAAGACTGTATAGCATTCAGTGGTAGGAAGATGTTGAATGGTGAAAGAAGAATTTGGAATTTGGAAGTAGTCATTGGCTAATTTAGGTTCTGCCCTGGCATTTGCCTGGACAGACTGAGAAAAACCTTGAGAAACCTCCCTGAGGTTTGAATCACTCTTTAACACAAGTTTATAGCATTAGCACCATACCAACATGCTCAGTGCCATACTTTCGTGTTTTAGTTTACTCATTGCTTTTGTCACAACTGCTATTTGGTAACAGACCCTAAGGTTGACCTTCCAGTTACAATATTGTGATGGTTCCTTAAAATAGGCCCTCCAGTTCAGTTTATCATTCACACATATTTCCACTCAGCTGTGTAAACTTTACAGTGAAAAGTCATTAGGTAAACTATGGAACAAACAAACAAACAAACAAGGAAACACTTCTATTACCTACAGTCAGTGACAAATTTTACACACTTTTTCCTTGTGGATTACTTTACAGTGCTGATGGTATCTAGACTATGTATCATTAAATAGCAGGATAATTGATGAATTGGAAGGAAGTGGTCATGGCCTAATTGAGGTACTATCATGACATTTGGCTGGAAGGACAAAGGAAAATGACAATAAACCTCAGTTGGAATTGTCTGATACTCTTTTGGTGACCATTTGGACTGTGTGTATGACTGGTAGTTACCAGTGTGTGTTACTGAGAATGTGCAGCTATAGCTGACAAGAAAGTTATGGTAGCAATAGTGTTCTCTGGCCACATGCTGAAAGTGTGTAACAATGTTTTATTGAGTGTATAGATACTGAGGAAAGCAATGAGGGTATGAACAGGTGACCAAATAACTTTCAATCTATATTGCCATGTTATCTGACACATTAATGCTGCTAACCATAGAATTATATTTGTAAAAACAAAGCCAAACTAAACCTTAGAAAGTTTATACATGTTTGTAATATCTGAAGCTTTCATAGTGACTATACAATTAGTTAATAAATCTTTGGCTATAAGCTGTGGCAGTTGGTTAAGAGGTGTATGGTAGGCAGACGGGCTGAACCATTGAGACAAGTGCAAGGAGTATATGAGGCACATATGCCTGGGCTAGCCAGAGAAATCAAGCGACTTTGTAATGCAGGTTGAAATGGGGCACAACATTGAGTTTAGCAGTACTGCCATGCTGGTTAAAGCACCGGGCTGCTTGAACTGCTTAATAAAGGGGGCCATTGAGATCAGTCTCCACATCAGAAACTTCAGTGGGGATGGGGGTTTCAGTCTTATTTGGTCGTGGTACCTGTTGACTAACATGATAAAGCAGTACCCAGTCAGCCCAATCTGGTGGCAGGACGAGGACAAACAAACTTATGACTGCCCACTAGCACCACATTGGCTCACACTCAGTTCTGATCACAGTTGCAGGCTGGTGTATACAGGGTGGGGCGCAGAAACTTCCTTTTTGAGAAGACGCATTGTGAAGGGAGGGGAGGTCGCAGAAAAGTGGGGATAGGCTCGGCGAACGCAGCAGTCGCGGAAGTTTCTGTCTAATACCCCTCAGTTGGAAACATGAGGTGGACGAGTGAGCAGCGTGCATTTGCTGTCAAAGCCTATTTTTCGAACAGCCATTCCTACGTGGCGGTGCAGTGTGCATTCCGTACTCACTTCTGAATTAAGCCCAGAGGTCCAGTTCCTGACTGGAAATTGATTGTTTTGTGGGTAGAGAACTTTAGTTCAACCAGGAGTGTGGTGAGAAAATCATCAGGATGACAACGGACAGTTACGACGCCAGAAAATGTGAAGGCAGTTCGACAGTCGATTTTGAGATCTCCAAGACGCTCCGCCCGCAAACATGCAGTCGCCCTAGACATATCCAATTGTTCAATGCGCCGAATTCTTCACGAACATCTTCATTTCCAACCCTGTAAGATGGTTGTTGTGCAAGAATTGTCACCACGTGATTTTCAGAACCGAATAACGGCGTGCGAAATGTTATTGGAAACTTTACCCCCTGACACACTCATTTTCTTTAGTGATGAGGCACATTTTCACCTATCCGGATATGTCAGCAAGCAGAATATGCGCTATTGGAGCGGTAACAATCCCAGAGAGCTCCATGAGAGGCCACTTCACAGTGATAAGGTGACAGTATGGTGTGCTGTCGAGAGTTGGAGTTATTGGCCCTTGTTTTTTTGAAGAAGACAATCATGCAGTTACTGTCAATTCACAGCGGTATGTGGACATGATTAAAAACTTTTTGAACAAGCTCTTGAAGAAATACATCTAGGAAATGTATGGTTCCAACAGGATGGTGCCATGGCCCACACAGCCTGAGCTTTGATGACAGTTTTGAGGGCAAAGTTCCCCGGACGGCTCATCTCGCTTCGAGATGACATCCTGTTGGCAGCGCACTCACCTGATCTAACGCCCTGTGATTTTTTTTTTATGGGGATACCTCAAGGCAGAAGTTTTTAAACATCGCCCCACAAACCTGCTTCAGATGAAGAATGTTATTCAGCAGGAAGTAGCCCAAATTCCAGTGCACGTGTTGTAACGTGCAGAGGGGAACTTCAGAAAACGGTTGCATCAGTGCATCGAGAACAGTGGCCACCACCTTCAAGATATTTTGTTACAAATTACATGATTTAAAACTTTAAATTATGTGTTTTCATTAGCTAAACATAAATTTTGTCTATCATTAATAATTTTTCTTTTATTCGCCTTCAAAAAAAGGAAGTTTCTGCGCCCCACCCTGTACATGGGTAGATGGTATGATGTGAATCTTACGTCTCATCAGACCCTGATGTTGGGGGGACAGATGGTGCCTCAAATGTTGATTGTTTCTAACCAGCTGACATGGCTGTTAGTCCAAGATTTTGTCAGTGTTATACATATTTGCTTAAAAAACTCAAAGCCTAACCCTTTCAAAAGAACCAAAGGCCTAAACTTGTGGTCTTGCTGAAGGTAGGTTCTGAGGTTGGGTTTTTGGTCTTTTTCTTACGAATGAAGTTCTGCGGTTGGAACCACTGACATGGCAGATAACATTACAGTAAAGTTTTGAAATCACTTGTCATCTATTAATACATTAAGTATTGGAATGCGTTATTGTTACAGTAATGTAGCACATTATTGCCACTTTTTCTCAGTTTTGTAAATAATAACTTGGCGTAGAATGGAGAAACTGCAAACTGTTGCAGATTTTTGCTCACACAAACTGCAGCAAGGATGTATCATGCTCAGCTTCAGTGGGGTCAGTGGTGGCTGCATTCTCACTGCTTCATCCACGCTCTGTGTTTATTTGTGATCATTTTATTTTTTAGGGCAAATATGGAGATTTGGATGCATCTCTTATTTCATATGGTCCCTGCCAGACACCAACTCTTGGTTTCTGTGTTCAGCGCCATGATGAAATTCAGACTTTTAAACCAGAATTGTACTGGGTCTTGCAAGTAAGTTAAATGAGATAAAGTTTCACTGCTCTGCTTGCCACCTGCTTTCATGCTGTTTTCTTGTTCGGCTTATTCTTCGACCCTAGAGATGGAGGCGATTTGTTCCTTGGAAGTGTCCATTGACTCTCAGCAGACTACATGACTTTATAATCCAGAAAATAGTACTCTTCAAGATAAAGTTGTCCCTGTATTTAAGCATTACACTGTGAACATGTATGAAGGAGGGAAGGTATGATTATGTACTACTTAAAGTTCCTTGTGGTTGAAGGTAAGTGGTCTATTGTTGCCATAATTATCCAAGGATTTCTTGTTGTCACATTTCTTTTTTTTTGTGTGTGTATTCTGTTGTTATTCCTCAAGTGATAATTATATATCACTGGGTGACAGAAGTAACTGTAAAATGTACTGGCATGTTTACCATATTAGTGTTATGGGCCATAGAAATTTATATGAGAACAGGACCCAAAGTCTGACCTTAGAATTTGCCATCCAGTCCACCAGATTAGGCTTTGTATTTTACATTTACAAATAAACTTGTGTGAGTTGCAGCATCAACACAATAGACAGCATGGTGGGAAGTGTTTAGCTTACTTAGGTTAAATGATACAAACTCCGTCCCAAGTGCAAACAATATATTATATGTCTTTGATCTTGCTCTGTTTTACACTACATGTTTTGGCCTCAAAGGGCCATCATCAGGTGTATACTCTCACGTTGCTCTTACACTGCACTTAGTTTAAAATTTAACATTTTAAAAACACATTGTTCTTTTCTTTGTTATTATCAACATCTACCTCGTTGATATCTGTCTGGTTTATAGATTATTTTGCACACGTTAATTTTGATTTTCCTGTAGTAGCACTATAAAATCTTTAGTTCTAATTTTAAAATCCTTTAAACTTTTTCTCTAAATTTTAAAATTTAAAATTGTTATGGTTACTTGCCCTATGTCTAAAGTGCTGCAGTGGCTAGTTCTTGTTTCCGCACTGTACAGGTATTATTCTGTGTAGTCTCACTGTGTGCACACGTAGTAAAGAACAGCAGCGGCACGCACACAGGAAAAGACCACTAGGAAGACCTAGCCATGCATGGGGTGATTCTGTTAAAATGGTTCTGAGAGAAATGGGATGGGGATGGATTCATCTGGCTCAGGATAGAGACATTGGCAGGCTCTTGTTAACATGGTTCCATAAAATGGGAAATTCATGAGTGGCTGCCACTGCATTGTACATGAGGACAAAATGCTGTTAAGGTTGATACTGCAAACATAATTGTTTATGTTTATTGGCATTAAGATCATGGTCTTGAGGGACATAAGTAGGTAGGTACAGAGGTTTTGAAGGGACTGTTGCCTCCAAATTTAGGTAGATGTAAATTCACCTTATAGGCCCTCAGTTGTGATCCCTGCTGCATGATTCTTCTCAGAAAAGCAGCCCTTAAACAAGTGTTGCCTGTGATCAGTTTTGTTTACACTGTGTACTGTTTTCACCCATTAGTTGTACAGTTTAGTAATATTGATAAGTTCAGCCTGTATGATGTGTGCTAAAATCCAGTGTGCACTATACCATGTACTTAGTGTTTGCGCAGACAAGCACGGGAAAGTGTTCTCTCCAAGAAGCATGGTTTGGGTACTGGTTCTGGAAGCAGTGACCAAGCTTGTTTGTGTGCTTGTTCCTAGTCATTTCATGTAACAATTTTCATGTTATGAAGAGAAAAGTGTGTAATTACTCCATCATTATTTTAGTATGAAGAACTGTGAAAAAGAGTGAGGCATGTGCATAAGTAAGTACGGTATATTAGCTTGCTTATCAACCAGTAACATATTGTATTTGCATGTGTTTTAGCTTGTGGTTCATACAAATGATGGAAGAGAGGTTACACTTGACTGGGACAGAGTACGATCTTTTGAGAAAGAAATTGCCACAATGTTCATGCTGCAGGTGAAGGAATTCAGCGAAGCTGTGTGAGTACATTCAGCATGATTGAACTGTCAAACCATGACATACTGTTAAAATGTTTGTTAATCCTATTGTGGGTTTTATATTGAAAGCAGTTTATTGGCTTGCCAGGGCTATTGTAGTTCAACCCTAACACCAACCCTCAGTACGCTCCTGAAGTATGGCACCAAACACCTGGGACACTCTGTATAATAACGAAAGTAATGTCACTGTACTGACTTTTTAGTTAACCAGCATTGCTTAATGGTTTAGTTTTACTTTTTCTTCAGTTCTGATTGTTGTTCTTCAGGGTTGTGGCTGTGACAAAGAAGGAGAAAACTAAGCAGCGTCCCCAGGCTTTGAACACTGTTGAATTGATGAGAGTAGCCAGTTCGGGTCTTGGTATGGGACCTCATCATGCCATGCAAATTGCTGAGAGACTCTACACACAAGGCTACATCAGTTATCCCAGAACTGAGACTACGCATTATCCTGAAAACTTTGATTTAATGTGAGTAATGACTTGTTTAAGGTAATGTTCCACCCATTGTGTTGGTTAACGTAGAGTCTGTAGCATTTCTTTATCTGCCAGAATTCACTTTCCTTCGTATTTTAATCATTATTTAGTTTTGCAGGTAGTAACATTCCTGATGTTGAATAGAAACTACGGGGTTGGATGTAGAACATGGGAAAAAAAATATCCTTTTTAGGAAAGCTAATAACATTTTACTACTGGCTTTACACTTATTAGATATGTTTTCTTTGGCACGTTACATGAGTGTTGTCACCGTGGCACTGCATGTCCTCAGATTTTGGATGGAGAAGATGACCTCTAGATGTGGAAAGTAGATGTGAAACTGAATATTGAGTAAGCATTCTCAGGTAGCTGAAAGGGGGTGATCCTCCAGCTTGGGTAAGCTTTTTTTTTTGGGGGGGGGCAGCCTGCAAAATCTTATACCAATGGTGTTCAGATTTCCTGGAATATACATTTGTTCTTTCTACCTAGTCCCTTGATTTTACATTCAAATTGAGCATAAATTGGCCTCTTGATGTCATTTTAAGTCTTTTCAATTGGAAATGAGGGGGAAAATTGATTTGCTGTTATATTCCTATCACATTTGTCTTCATGTCCACTTAGTATTCTGTGGCTTCAGGGTAGTTCAAGCCATCTTCTTACCTTTGCCAAGTTTGTATGCAAGTTACAGGTGACTACAAGTTCCATGTGCTTATTATTAAATTATTGTGTTAGTTTTGCTTCTGAATCTACTGCATATTGAACTAGCAAACAGTTTTATTTTAGATTCTAAAGGGTTCTGACGCTGGTGGATGACACACAGAATTACTGGGTTTTTGGACTTTTTCCATCGCCTGGATTCTAGGTGATAGAGGACATGATGTTTTGGAAACTGGATCTGTTTCCGTCTTCAGGTGAGAAAGGGAGACACCTACTCAGTTGGGCCTGGAGAACCACCACTTGATGGCTGTCCACAAGTGTTTATTCAATATATTTGCAGCTACCCTCTATGTCTGGAGTCTGTCAGCTTCATCTGCAACCTGAGGACACACCATGCTGCAGTGACAGGGGATCCACTTAATATGGGAGCATTGAACACTGCCGTTAAAAACAGGAAAGACACCAAAAAGTGTCATACTTTGCAGGTTCTTTGGTCAGAGAAAGAGCCAGAAGGAGTAACCATTTCAAGAATTGGAAAATCTGTTGCTCACATGGTTTAAACAAGCTACAGGTTGCAAATCAGTAATCAGTGGCGCACTGCTGAGAGAGGAAGCTCTACAAATTGCTGGATCAGTGGTATCAAGCAGGGATGCAGTGTTGTGAACAAAACTCTATTTGGAGAGTGCAAAGGTGTAGACTTCAACACTGAGGGAATTGAGAAATGCAGAGTTACTGAAAATTTTTCAGGATTATGAGCCTAAGATAATTTACAAAGCAGAGAGACATGGTTATTCTTCAGTCTTTCATCTAGTGAGACAGTGAGTATGAAAGGGAATACTTGCAGTGGTAGAAAGAATTCCAAAGAGAGAACAACTGTTTCACCAATCTGAAACACTGATGGTACAGACAGGTTTCCACCATTAGGTATTGGGAAGAGTGAAAACTCCTGTTGCTTTAAAATGCCAGAAAGTTTTCCACAGATTATGTAGCCAAGAGAAGAGCATGGGTTACAGTGGCCATCTTTACTGACTAAGGGCATTAGATGTGTGAATTCTGAAAATAGAAACATTTTACTTTTCATTGAGCAGTGTGCTGATCTCCAATACACACTCACTCATGGAGTTGAGCCCTGCTTAAGAAACCATCAACTGTGCAGCCACTCAGGAGGAACTTCTCAGCATTTTATGGAATCCAAATGTTCATTATCATGTTCACAAAAGCTCTCCAGTGGCCCCTGTCCTGAGCCACATCAATCCAATCCATACCATCCCATCCTATCTCTCTAAGATCCATTTTAATATTATCCACCCACATGCATCTTGGTCTTCCTACTGGTCCCTTTCCTTTTGGCTTTCCCACGAATATCGTATATGCATTCCTTTNAGATCCATTTTAATATTATCCACCCACATGCATCTTGGTCTTCCTAGTGGTGTCTTTATATGCATTCCTTCCCCCCCATTCGTGCTACATGCCCTGCCTATCTCATCACTGACTTGATCATTCTAATTATACTTGGTGAACAGTACAAGTTATGAAGCCCCTCATTACACAGTTTTATCCAACCTCCTGTCGCTTCATCTCTCTTTGGTCCATATAGTCTGCTCAACACCCTGTTCTCAAACACCCTCAGTCTACATTCCTCCCTTAAAGAGAGAGTCTGGGTTTCACACCCATACAGAACCACAGGCAAAATTATAGTTTTGTATATTATAATTTTTATGTTTATGGACAGCAGCCGAGAAGACAAAAAGTTCTGAACTGAATGGTAGCAGGCATTACCCGAGTTGAATCTCCTCTTAATCAGGTAAATCCCATGTCCATTTTCTTTTGCTTAGGTCATTTATCCAAAGAATCCATCCAGGCCCAAGGCTGTTTGTGGTCTTCCATAACAAAGTTATTTTTTACAGTGAGGAGTTTTTGGTTCCACTCCCAACCCCAAAGCTGAAGGACCACCTCTTTTCAGTATATTCTCAGCTACCCTTCATATCTGAAAGGCATCTCCTCCATCCCCTACATGAGGATGTGCCATGCCGTGCTGACGAGGGTCCCACCTAACATGACTCCAATACACAAGTTACGTAAATAATGCGAAAATTTGTGTTTTTCCCCTGAAACTGCACCAGCATTCTCCAGCTGCATGACCAGGGAATAATTAGGTCACGCAAACATTGTTGCCACTATCAGCTTGTAAGAAGAACTGTTTCGATGACTGTTCACAAGTTGCTTTATGATGCAACACTTGTTGGAATAAATGTTCTAGTTGGACAACATTTCACTGTGGAATCACAAGACTGTCTCACACATAACAGCAATGAACTGTTTTCAGAAATGTGGATTCAGTTAAATCAAACCAATGGCAGTGAAGTTGCGACCATCACAGCATAGCACAGCTGAAGGTGACGGGGGTCAGCTGAAAGCAGATGTATCATTTCAAGAATATGTATCCTGTGATAGTGATGATGTAATATGTGAGGTTCAGTCTTTAGAACAAATGGTGGCTGAAAAGTTTACATCTGATGTGTCTGAGGAGGAGTAGGAGGGGGAAGGTAATGGTGGGAAAAGTGAACCTCCATCAACATTTCTGTCAGCACTGGACGGCATCAGTACTGTGAGGAAATACCTCCTGATGTCAGTGTTGATTATATCAAGATGGCTGCCATCAGCAGNTTTCTTCATTGTCATCGCCGTGAAAACCTCAAAACTTACAAAGATATACACGAGTTCAGCAGAAAGTGAAGATGCAGCAGCTTACTTTAGTAGACATGCGGATGGAGTAACTATATTACATTTTTACCACAACACAGTGTTAATTTAGTGTAATTACAGTAGCTACATCAATTTTCATTTCCTTGATTTGACATCAGTTTTAAATGGTGTCTTCAAAAATGTAAGATTCACATCTGTGTTAGGAGGCTGAAATGGGTGAGCATGTTAACCACTTGGAAGAGATGAGAAATGCAGAAAATAATTTGGTTGTATAAGTGAATTCATTTTGATAAGGTGTGTCTTATTTGGCAGACTTTAATTTTTGGATGTATACTTCTCTTGTTTGGTAGGGGTGTACTGAAACAACAGCAGCACAGCACCGAGTGGGGATTTGAGGTTCGGGATATCATAACAGATGGAATCAGCAAGCCAAGGAAAGGTCATGATGCAGGTGACCATCCTCCCATCACTCCAACGAAGTTGGCCAACCGAAGTGACCTTGATGGAGATGCATGGAAGTTGTATGATTACATCGCTCGCCATTTTATTGCCACAGTAAGGCAGTTTTAAGTGTGCACCATGGGGTTAAGTAGTGCATGCAATTTTGAAACATTTGGAGGTGGGATAATATGCTTCTGGAATATTGGGCCAGGGTACCAGCTAATCAGACTTCACCCCCACAAGAAGCAAATGATGATTTTTTGATATAATTGTTGATAATATAACATGAATGGCCAGAGCGTTGCTAGGTTACGGACCAATAAACAAACTGCGACACATGCATGCAACAATGGAACGAGGTTTCTGCAATCTGCTTCTACACAACGGCTCGGTAAACAAACATCCATGCAGGTGCGATGATGTCACATTCCAACAGTACTAGTTATCACATGACTTGTTTTCGGTGTTGTCCGTGAGTGCCTATATAACAAAGACCTGTTTAAGAATAAGTTAGTGGAGTGTCCAGGAGAGCTCAAGGCAATTGGGAGACTAATGCAGTGCTTATAAGAGAAGTGAATAGAAGGCCTGTGAAGACTTGACACATGTGTTATAATTACAGTAATCTTGAAAGTTTTGCGGTTATTTGTAGTTACAACTAGTGAAGATCCAATACAACCCCGCGTCTTACTCACTGTATCATGTGACAACATTACTTAGAAAGAGAAACCCTTAATTTTTTAAGTGGAGTAACATTTTATGTTTTCAAACTGCATGTCATGTTTTTATCAGTTGAGCAAGGTCAGCTTATGTATGTATTAATGCTTAGAAGGTACAAATGCCTACATAAACATACTGATAGGTTTTCATAGGTGTACTTGGTTGAGGCACTATGCTACAAGCTGGAAGGTCGTTGGTTCAAGTCCCGATGAGGTCACTGGATTTTTTTCAGTTTACCTAATCCTTCCAGCTGCACTATGGCCCTGGGGTCGACTCAGCCTCTAACAGAAATGAGTACCAGGAATTAATTAAAAATTTTTCCTGGGGAGTAAAGTGCAGCCAGCGCGCAAGGCTGACAGCCTTACCGCCATCTTTGAGCCGATTGTCTAGATACTGTGGGACCCTCAGTGTCTCACAACCCTATGGGCCTTCACAGCCTGTTACAGGGATAGCATTACTTTTTACTTTAGGTATTTTATATAATGTGTATGCAGAAACTGTCACATAAGAATTAAAAACCTTATTTCATAGTACAGTATTAGTTAAATTTTTGCCTCTTATAAGAATTCAGTAGTGTTCTTTCATGTCAGTAAATTTTAAATGTCATTGGTATATGTTGCACATGAACCTACACCTTGGTAGTGGAATCCAGAGGTTCAGCACTGCCACTGCCAAAGCCTGCTATTAGACATCCCGAGTATGTTGTATACATCTGTTATAATAACAGTTAATTTTCTTGAGGTCCATATTGATGTTATCTACCTATTGCCTTAAGATCTAAAAGTTTGTGATGATGTTACATTGCTGCAAGTATAATGTTTTTGGACATTGTCCGTTATCTTGTCTATAATTAAAAACTGTCCCAAACACAACATTGTGTTTTGAAAAATAAACAGGACAGTTTTTAAAGTGCTTGTCATAGTGTTTGTAAGATTTTAAAATCAATTGAAGTACATAATTTGCAGGCTTAACTGCTAATTGCATATATTACCGTAAGGTACTTTGGCCACAAAAATAACAAATACAGCACTCTTTATTCCTTTCAGTGCATTTGATAAGAAAAGTTGTAAAGTGCACATATTAGCTTCACCATGTTAGACTGTCTTGATTTTCTTTAAATTTGAAATCAAGAGTTTTAGTAAAATATATCAGTGGAATTCAGTTTTGGTTAAAATTGAATGGCAATAACAGACATTTTACATGAAGACCAGCATGTGTTTTTCTGCACATCCGATGTCTAACTCGCATGGAACTCACAGAATATTTATCAGAATGAAAATTGTTCAAAACAGAAATTGTAGATCAAAGTCAGTCTCACCTTCCAGTACACTTTCTGTGTATGGCTTTTTGAAATAATTAAGCAGATGAAATTTATGCTGCCTGTAAGCAGTAATATGGAATGCATGTACCAGAAGTAGTATGCTATGTGAACATCTTCAGAGTGGCTGTCTTGTAGACATGAAAGTAACGTAAAATAATTCAGCATAATCAACATCTTTATTGTTATCTGAAGCAGCAAATTAAAAATTTTTTTGTGCATGCACGAACTCTTTCATCCACAGTTGTCAGTTGGATTTTTGGTTGTGAATTAGAACAGTTCTGCCTCAGGGTTATATATATTCTGTATTCGACATACAATTTTCAGGATGTGGAATGTAGACTTTCCTCTCCAAAATGAGAAAAGCGCAAGGAGTGATTTAACATACCTCATTGACCATCATGTATGAGTAGCTTCGGAGGCAAACCTGCAGTTTCTGTTCAAGCAGATAGGTGAAGAAATGAAATCATGGCTGAGCTAGGAATTACTCATAAAAATGCCTGAATTACACTGAACTCTCGATTATCTGGGGGTGGATAAACCAGTTTGTGCCTTAACCGGGGCTACCGGGGCTTTTTTGAGGCTTTTATGTTGTTTAATATTTATTCCCTTTTGTTTCACATGGTGAGTTGTAACACTATTTTCACACTGGTGTGAACCGAGCTCTGCATTTTTTTGTTCCCCTTATGCTAACACAATGTTCTAGGGTAGGGGTTAAAGAATGCAAGGATTTGTGGTAAGTTTCAAGGACAGATACACCTTCCCAGTTAGTCTCTTTGTATCGATCTTCAAGTGCGTTAGCAAAATGTCAGGGTGTAAAAGGAATCGTGTTATGTTAAGTATTCAACAGAAACTTGAAATTATCAATCATTTGGGAAAAAGAGGTGTAGTTAAACAATTAGCAATGCAATACGGTATTGGAGAACAAACTGTTTGTGATTTGAAAAAAACAAAAGAATCAGTTAATTTCCTTTGCTTTGTCTTCTAATTCAAACGGAATGAAGAAGAGAAAAACCATGAAAAAATTAACATATGATGATCTCGACAAAGCAATGTTGATCTGGTTTAATCAACTAAGGGCACAGAGAACAACAATAACAGGAGCAATTTGTGCT